TTAAAATGGTCTGTAGAAGCCATTGTTTTGTATAGTAAGCTGCTCTGAGCTGCTGAGTTGAGTACTGAGGTCCATAGAAAGATATTTTTGGTCTAGATACAAATTTAATGGTCTTGATACTTCTGGCTATAAACGCCATTCTTTGCAATAGTATACGATGTGCATCCAAAACCAAACCAACAAACCTGTGTGAGGAAAAAGTGTGTTGATGTTGAGGACCTACATATTTCTGAATTACAAAATAGCATTTTTTGGGCAAAGAAACAAAGAGTAGTCAACTTGAAATTACCTGAGGAAAGACTCCACCTGTTTCAGTGTCCATTATAGCAATAAAAATCATGCGTCTTCAGAGATACTATGTTTTTACATTTCTCGCTCCCTTTTTAGGCAGGGTTTTTCTTCTTGGCAGTAGCAGTAGCAGCTAGTGGTCAGTACAGATTATAGCATCAGGATATATTTATTCAGTCAACAAATACTTTTCTCTGAGTTGAGAAAACGTCTCTTATTTGGCTGGTGCTTTCAGTCCTTAATTATGTAATGCTTTTCTTACAGTAAGCCCACATTTTACTTTTTTAAAAAACATAAGTGCTCAAATTCATTCCAATTCTATTTATTTGTCAGGAAGAAAAGCTTTTTTTTTTTTTTTTTTTTTTTTTTCCCATTTCAGGTATCCCTTTAACTCTTGTTCTTTTCTTGAGGACTGTGAATGTGTTTTTAAAGGTAGAAGAGAAACATTCGAACATATGTAAATATTCACTTGACATGTTTGAATAAATCAGTCATTTTCATTTCATTATTTGTACGTGAAATGCATAAATAAAATATTCCCTTAAACCCATTTAAAATTCAGATCTGCCTTTTCTGAAGCAGATAAAAAGAGATGTTAATATCTTTAAAATTCCTTACTGAAAAATTTTTGTAGCTAACTTGATGTTTTTTGCAAACCCAGAATCTTCTTTACCTGAGCTATAGTTTTATCTTTAAACCCGCTCTCAGGATTCTTTGTGATACTGAAATTTTGTGACAGTACCTGTTACGGTGCCTGATGCAAACCTATAAGACGCTGGTTCCCCTTTATTCCTTCTACTCCTTATTTATAGGTAAAAGCATTCAAGCTGAGGCTGGGCAACCAAAATTGTTATTGATGCTTTGGAGTGAGGCACATTTAGAATGGAGGTTAGACTCTACAGAGTTCATTTTAATTGCTGTACACAGACAGTACTGTTAGTGGGAATTAAAAATACTGTGATATAAAAAAGGATCATTGAGGAATTTTTCCTCTATCCCACTTATATTGCTGATTCATTTTGATATTCTTTGCAATAAGAATAGGGAGATATTTTATAGTTTGTTATTTTTAACACTTTTCCTTAACCAAGATTTCTCGTTTTAGGTAGTGAATGCATACCATCTTCGGGTAAGGAGGAAAAATCCAGTGACTGGCAATTATGTGAAAATGAGCCTGCAGCTTTACCTGGTTGACAATAGAAGCTATCTTTTGGACTTTAAAAGCATTGATGGTAAGGAAGCTATGCAGGCATGAACTCTGAGCAAATAAAACTTGGCACTAGTTGGCAAGACATTAAAATCATCTCAGAGGCATGGGTGGGTAGGTCTTTTATACTGGTTTTTAAGTAATCTAGATTTAGCTAAAAACGTAAGTGAAATGAAAAAGATCAAAGACACATAGACTATCTCTAACCTAGCACCTCTCCAAAAGAAGTGCATCCTTGCCATAAAAAGTCTTTCGAAGTGGTGCCTGTGGAGCAAAAACCAGGGAAGCAGTTTTTACCTAAAATTAATTGATGTTGTTGGGTCTTTGTCACATTCCTCATTCATATTTTGTTACTGTTGGCATTACAATATCTAAACTTCCCCTTCATCAGCTGCTCTCATCCTGGTTGGCCCAAGTGACCAAATGGGCCTCTCCTGGGATGTAGGTTAGATTTCGGTGCCTATGGCCACCCAGGAGCCAAAAGGAGTAAGGGAAGGAGGTCCAGTCCAAATACTTAGTGTGTGCCAAGAGTCAAACCTGGGTGAACCAAATGTGCTTATTTCATTCATAGGCCAAAACAGGTAAAAACAGAATAACCCGATGGTCAGGTGCTGAATGGAACAAGAGAACTGAGTTCAGATATAGGGAAGTTGATTTAACAGAGCTTTTAAATGTTATTCTTGAACTACCATTATCTATAGCAGTGTTTATATGGTCCCCAGACCAGCATTCTTATTAAAATGCAGATTCTTAGGAGTTGCCCCCAGTCCTAAGTCCGAATTTCTGGAGATAAGAAACTGGGAATCTGCATTTTTAAAAAGATGCTTCCCCCCCACCCCTGGGCAATTTCTTTGTGCACCAAAGGTTCAGAACCACTGTGTGATGATAACTTTTATTTTTATTTTAATGATATTTTGTTGAGACCCTGCAAGAAAATAAGCCTTTAAGGATGTGCTTTCTTCATACGCAGGGATATCAGTTTGATTTCAAGGTTACACCAAATCCTCGTTGAAAGGGGTTTAGGGGTCACATTTTGACCGGGTGGAAGTACTGTGATTGATTAGTGATGTCTGTTCTGCTTGTGGGAGGGAAGAGGTATTATCACCCTGGCTCCTAAAACACTGGAATATGACATTTATTAAGTTGCCTTTGCTCAGATGTGTTTACTTACTTACTATTCTTACTATAGCATCTTCATAAGAAGTGCTGGGCAAAGTATACCTTTCTGATAAATTGCTCTGCTTGGTCCATTTCAGATGAGGTGGTGGAGCAGAGGTCTGGTTCCTCAACACCTCAGCGTTCCTGTTCTACTGCTGGCTTACATAGACCAAGATCAAGCTTTGATTCTGTAACTGGCGAGAGCTATTCACTGTCCGGCTCCCTCACTGGCTCCTTGACTGGAAGCACATTGTCTTCGGTTACACCTCGCCTGGGCAGTCACACCATGGATTTTTTTGAAATGTGTGCCAGTCTGATCACTACTTTAGCCCGTTGATGATCTTTCCCTAGTTTATATCTTTCTGTTACTGCACTGTGAAAATCACATGTATTCTTTAAATTATTATTTTACTTATGTGTACACTTACTCTAAAGTGCTGATTGACAGACGTGAATATTGCCAGGGGACACTCAATGCCATTGAAATTACTGAAAACAGCAAAGTCTGACATTTTATTTACCTGTAGAAATCTGTAATTCTGTTTTGTCTATGATAAATTCACATAGGCAATATCTTTAATAGGTGAACACTGATGAAAATCATTAATTAAAGTTGTGAGTTCATTGCAGGTGATTAATGCACCTTCACTGGTGAACCATCTCAATCAGAGGGTGGTTTGGCAGCACCTCCTTGCTTTACTCTTTAGTGTAGGTAAATACAGTTTATTTCCTAAAAATTTCAGCAAGCTTAAAGCTATGTTTTTGCACCCAGTTCTTTTGCACAAAAAGATTAAAAAATAAAACAACCATTAGTAAGATAGTACTTAAATGTTGAAATCTTAAAACCCTGCTCCAAAATTTCAGAAGCCACGTTCTAGGAATTTTTGCCTAGTGTTTGACAGAAAGGCTGTGGTCCTGAAACAGGTAACCACGATTTCCTAGTTCCTTAAAAACAACTGTCACCAACTAGAGGTTTTATTGTGCGATTTCCACGAATAATATACTTTAAGAGCCTTTACGATTCTACTCAGTACTGGAACACCTAGAATTGCAACTTTTGTCATAAACTTAATATCATTTAAAACATCCCTTCAAAACCTACCTTTCTCAAATTCTTTTTAGCTCTATTATTCTTGTACCTTACCAAGCATGGCAGTTACGTGAAACAAAGCATAATATCAACAGTCCCTTGAAAGAGAACTCTGATCTCTGTTGTGTGCGGTGGTAGGGTGGGGGTGTAAGAGATGCTGCATCACACGGGAATTCTTCCTGTTAAGTTTGTCATTGAAGCCACCTCCTCCCTCACTTTCCCTGGTCACCATTTTCTTTGTTTATTGTTTGATCCTTAGTGACTGACTGGTTTAACTTTTAAATCCTCCGTGGTTCCATTTCTTTGCTCTTTATCTTGGTTGCTACCCGTCTAATTTGAAAATACTGTTCTGGCAGCCTTAAGGACTTTTATGTAATTCCAGAGCTTGATAGGCTGTGACCTTCACTGTTGAACCTTTTAGGGCAGGGTAGCCTTAAACATTAAAAAGGAAATTCTCTCTTGTATAAATATATGTGTTGTTTACATATATACATATATGTATTCACACACCAATGCTTTTAAAGGAAAACCAAACAGGTTTTTTTTGTTTGTTTTGTCCAGGTTGTATTTTTTTTTTTGTAATTAAAAAAAAAAATCTGTATACAGCAGTGTAGATAATAGCTTATTAATTATATTTCATTTTAGTAAAAGTATTTAATTTTTAAATTAAGTGTAATTTATCAAATTTCTATTTATTCATTTGTTTTCTTTGGTATGTTATAATTAACAATCTCATTCACCTGACTTATCCTAGAAAAGATTAAGCTCTTGAAAACAAAAAGTGATTGACTCTTGACAGGTTTCTCTTTGCCAAAAATAATGTTTCCTACCAGAAGCAAATGAGAGTGCTAGACCAAATTTCCCCTGTGTTTATGGAAGAAAAGCATGTCTACCTTTAAGTAGCTTTGAGCCAGGAGTTTGCAGTGTTACATCACATTGTTTTGTAGAACTTTCAAAAAATCTTGTTAAGTAACTTTTTCAGTTTGACTTCTTAATATCAAAATAAAAGGAGTCCTCATAGGGAAAGAGGGTGGGGTGGGTTGCAGTTAAGTTTTAAGTTTAAACCTTTGAAAGGTTGCCACCTAGTGGCACAAAAGGGTGCTTTTTTGTGTGTGATTATTTTTATAGGGTTAAGTAGTAGTCCTGTTGAGTTAGTCTGATGTGCATTATAAATATGGCATAATTTTGGCCTCTCCAACTGTGTAAATACCTCTTTTGGGAAAAACAAGGCCACCTCATAACACGTGCCTATGAATGGGATGACCTTAGAAATAAGGAATTAGTTTGATTCCTTACCCTCAGTGACAAAATCCCTAACAATTTTGAAGGTGGAGAAACAGCAGGAAGGAATCCAGGGGTATTTTAGCTTTGTTAGTCTTAATAAGTCACATATTAGAAACTTATTCATATCAAAATTACTTTATATGGATGGTTATATTTTTTGAAAGTTAAGAAATTATTTACTATTTTCTTATTCTTGCCAATATTCATGAATATCTACAGTTCGGTAGTTATTGAATTTGGTAGTTACCTATTGAATTTTAGGAGAACCAAGGGTCACAGTTTTGGTTTTTGTATGCTTACATTTTTAAAGCACAGCTGTTCTGTGAATCTAGAATTATTTTGTGGAGAGAAGATTACAAGAGGCTTAGTCCAGCATAACGGGCTAGAACATTGTCTAAGGAGGCTTTGTGTTGCTAATGAACAGAGAAGGGAAGAATCAGAACTAAATCCCCACGACTCAGCCTTATGAACCGGTTCACCATGGATGTGGTCGTGGTAGGTAGATATGAGCGAGGAGCAGGTTTTTTCCAGCTAAAATTCTGGAAGAGAGTTTCTGTTAGGTTATAGAAGCCTTAGCTATGTCATGGAAATGGACTCCATGGGATTCTAGAATAGCATTGCCCAAGTTGTATCCTTTCAGATGCTCTGCAGAAAAACGGTGCCATTTGAGCAAGTTTGGAAAAATGTTACCTGCTCCTCTCCTGCTCGAGATACGAGCGTTCGAGACTTTGATGAGTCCTTCTGTGTTTAACCTTTGCCCAAGTTAATTTAACCATGTTTTTTAAACTTTCTATCCCATGGGGAAAAGCAAGTTTAGAAAATACTATTTTAGGAAAATTATTGTCCCAGGTTGTCATAATTAGAGTAGTTAAGAATAAAATGAAGATTCCCTTTTCCCTTACCAGTTGTTGGAGAGAGTCTGGTTCAAAATCAGAATAATTTCATTTTTAACCTGTGAACATAGTCATCTTGAACTGGACTAAATAGAGTTGTGAATACCTGCTACTTGTTTCATAGCTCCTTGATTTTCTTAATCAGGTTGTGGTTTGGGGGAGCAAAATGTATTTTTTTGTGCTGAATGGGCAACTAAAAAATCTTGAACAAGGTTAGTTGTAAAAAAGTACTAAAGATTAGTAACTAATGCTTGTGGCTCTATGGACCATGAGTCAATGTTGATTCTTTCAAAATGTGCCGTCAGTGAACTTTTTCTAAATACTTTTAAACAGGGTTCCACATTTAGATGTAATTCCCATTGTCCTCTAATGTAGGAACAAACAACATCTCAAATCGAATTTATAGGGAGGAGAGGGAGGAAAACCTATTACAAGTTGGGTTTTTGTTTCAGTCTACAAGTTTTTTAAATTTTTAATTGATTTTTACAGAGAGAAAAGGGGAGAGAGAAACATTGATTTATTTTTCCACTTATTTATGCATTCATTGGTTGATTCTTGTATGTGCCCAGACCAGGGATCAAACCCTCAGCCTTGGTGTATCGGGACGACGCTCTAACCAACTGAGCCACCCAGCCAGGGCCCCATCAGCAACTTTTTAAGAGACACTTGGGTAACCTCTAGCATTTGCATTCCTCGATACTAGCCATCTATAAAGAGGACCCAGGGGCCTAAATTCAATCAGAAATGACCGTATTTCTGTCAGGGAATTGGCTGTATATCGTACAGACAATTCTGTTTTCTCCAAGTAAGTTTTCCGTGACAGTTCCACAGTGCTGGGCTTCCTTTCTCGCATTCCCTCGCCAGTTTGTACTCAGGGAAGAGAAAGTGATTTTTAGCATTAGATGAGACATGAGTAAGGAAATAATCATAGACAACAGTTACAGTTTTTGCCTGTTTGGATTTATTTGTAGCCTCTATTAAAGTGCAGCACACCCTCGTTTATAAAATATAGAAACTTGGAAAGTGTCTGCCACAGACACTGCCTCTTTGTTCGCTGGTTAATAATTGAAATCCTATGCATGGTTGTGAAATCTCATTATCTAAATGCTAGATGTGTTCACAGTGTTGTCTGTTTTTGTTTGTCTTCAAAGACCCCTACCTTTTCAATCTGGCATTTCTTTACCTGGTCATCCTGTTACTCTGTGACTTTTTAAATAAGGAATGTATTTATTTAAAAATAGTTCTCAGAGATTTTACTTCATTAGAAATTCTGGAGGAGGGATATGTGCAATCTCTTGCTAAGTCACATCCTATGTTGGGGTTATTTTTGTAACCTCGAAAGTGGGAAGGAGAGGTTAAAAGACCTCTGAGGAACCTTGGAGCTTTAAAGTTGTCTTACATGATTTGTGTTAGTGTCCATGTTTTATATGTGTAGTTTTTATACTAGTGAGAATGTTCTATATGTGTTTGGTGAGGCATTTTGAAGGTATATACTTGAATTTTTTTCTAAATACAGCTACCTTCTAGAATACAAATGGCAGAAAACCAAACATGTTAAAACATCGTGTGCACTTGACATGAAGCAAAACATGACTACTTTGGAGTGATGGAGCGCTCTGTGCATTTTATAGTGATTTTTAGATCCAGAGACCCTCCGAATCTGTTAACTTAGCACATTGCAGTAACTTTGTGAGGTGACCACTTTCCAGGTGAGGAAGCAGGACCAGAAAGCTTTTCATAAAGATTCATGCCACACAGGTATTCACCGATGACCACTGCCCTTTAAATGCCACTGTCCTCTCGGGGAGAAACAGTCTGAACCACTGAGACATCTGAGTAGCTAGGTAATAAACACAGGTATATTGCTTTCAAGTCTTAGGGTGACCTGATGTAGTCTTAACTGAATATGTCTCAGTTTAATCATTTGAGCCAGTTGATTGTACTAACTAGATGTAATTATCTAAAGTATTTGGGGTTTGCGTATTGATTTTTACAAGTACTTCTCAGTTATTGAGGGTGCTTAAAGAATACTGAAGAAAAATGTTTAGGAAATGCTGCTTCCTTTAATTTAATTTGCATGGTTCTTATAGTTCAGTCTTTTTAAAAACCAAAACTAACTCCAGCCCCTATCCTAAATTATCCTAGTTTTTAACAATTATCTGAATTAGACTTATCTAAATTTCATATACAGATTGGTAATTTTTCATTTTGTATGCACATTAGATGATAAAA